TGGTCTCTGACAACACGCTGAACGGAGCTGGAAGAGAAGTCCGAGCCTCAGGGGAGACCATGCGCCCCCACCTGGAACTTGATTTAAATTGTCTGGGGCCCTCAACAGAGAACCTGGGCATGCAACTCAGAGACACTATGGAATAATAACATGTGGTATTTTAAGACAGTAAATATATGATACTTTGTTAATTAGTAACATAAAATCTATGCACCCTATATAGACGAGTAAGCCTCTACTTTAAGTTTCACCATTTTATAGACAAGGAGACCAAGTCTTGGGAAGATTACGCATTTCCCCAGAGTCACACCACTAGGTGAATGACAGAAATAGCTTTAAACCCAGCTGCTGTGGCTTCGGGATTGGTACTCTTAATCGCCATGTGCATTTCCCATAGGGGATGGGATCAAGTCCCAGGCCCCTGAGCAAGAAGCCTCTGTCAAGTCACACAGAGTGAGGCACTGTGTCTGTCTGCCTGGACATCGGGGTACAGAAGGTTCAGAAAGCTGAGGCTGAGCCTGGCTCCACTAGAAGCCACCAGTGTGCTCTTGAAAAGTCAATGAACCCCTCTGAGCCTCAGAGTTTTTGTTTGTTTTTAAGGGAGGGCAGCACAGATTTCCACAGGGCCACAGGGATGAGGGTGCGCTGCAGCTGGTGAAGTCCACAGGGAAGGCAGAGGCACCGCATGGCACACAGGTCACATGTGCTGTCTTTTCTTGGCATCCTTGATCCCCATGTTGGGTACGATCTCACTTATTCTGAGGAAGGTATTTGAAAATAAGTTTTCCTTGGAGAGAAAATGATCCCCTATTAACTTTATTTGGAAACCATAGGATAAGATGGAATGTGGTTTTTCTTTTTAAAAGACATGCTTTAAAAGCCTTTTGAATGTTAAAAGTCAAAGCAATAACAATGCATTGTGGAATAGTAAAGTAAAACATGAATACTATGTAGCACAAAGATTAACACAGGCTAGAAAAAAGAATTATACAGTTTTGTTTTGTTTTTTTAAACTGGGGATCGAACTTGAGACCTTGCGATTGTGAGGCAGGTGGTAGAACCCCTGAGCTAAATCCCCAGCCCAGTTTTTGATTTTTATATATATGTGAAGCATTATAATATTAATTCATGGTAGCTGTGATAAGTTAGGATATATTCTTAATGTATAAATAAAATACAATACAAAAGGGTATAGCTAAAAAAGCTAACAGAAGAGAGAGAATGGCATACTAAAATACATGAATAAATCAGATTAAAGGAAGAATAAAGGAAGAGAAAATAGAAGAAATTTCTAAAAATAGCAAAAAAAAAAATAGCAAGGTGATAGGACTTAAAACCTAATGAGCTCATTAATTATATTAAATGCAAATTAACCAAATACTCCCATTAAAAGGCAGAGATTATCAAGCTAGACTTTAAAAAACAAGGCCTACGAAGTATTTCCTTGACATGTGAAGACACAGGATGAAATAAGAAAGGCTTAAAAAAAAAATGTATACCGTACAAGACATAGAGAAAAAAGCTGGTGTATTTTAACCTCAAGCAAAGCAGATTTCAAATCAAAGAGGATTATCAGAAGTAGTCATTTCACGATGACAGGAGGACCAATTTATTAAGACATAAGAATTCTAAATATGTATGCATGGTATTAGCACACGTAACAGATTCTCCTCAACTATGAGAGGGTTACACGTCGATAGACCACTGTGCATTGAAACTCCTTAAGCCAAAAATACACTTCAACATCTGGACTACAGGACATCAAAGCATAGAGCACAACCCATTCTACAGCATCGACTGTTACTTCTGGGAATTGCAGCTGCGCCAACGTCCAGCACTGAGAGAACCATACTCAACATCACTTAGCCCAGGTAATGAGCAAAATACAAAATTTGAAGTATGTGCTCTTTTGAATGTATATTGCTTTTGCACCACTGTAAAGTTAAAAGATTGTAAGCTAGCTACTATAAGCTGGTGACTGTTCATAAAAACAATCTCTCCACTCCTTTGTAAATTACATGTAAATCACACCACAATTAGAACTATACATATGGAAAGCCTTTGCCTTCAGAGAACTCATGATTTGGCTAAGGAAACATACAAAAAGGTGTAAGGAGAAATCGACAAGTAAAACAAAAGAGAAATAATGCTCGGAAAGCATTATGTGACCCCAGAGTAGAAGCTAAACCCCAGGGCCTTCCACATGGTAACTAATCACTGACCCTTAGCAGCATGGCCACACCATAGAGAGGGGTACAATCCTGCATTACAGAATGAAGTGAACAGAAGCACTGCCGTGGTCACAGGGCTTACAGGATTATACTTTGCAACAGGACCTGGGACATGCATGACCCTGAAGCCTGTGCTCTTCCAGTAAAGCGTATTTCACTTGTAGAAGACAGAATGCGCTGGACATGCATGAGCAAGAAGCCCCGATCAGTGCTAGGAAGCGTCCTTTCTGAATTCACACGTTGAGAATTGTGCTCGCAAGAGGGACAAACAGCTGATTTCACTCAGCGGGCTCTGAGCTGGTTCATAAAGCACGAGAGTGCTTATGTCATAAGCAGAGCTCCCCAAGAGAAAGACAGCCTCTTATGTGCTGCACACAGTATTTTCATAGGACAAAGAAACAGCATATAAGCTACAGCTAACCTTTCTCTCTTCTGGGCCTTTCTTTTCTATCTTCTCCACCAACCTCCAGCCTACAGTGCGGAGCAATTCTTTGGCTGTGCTTACCCATTACCTGGCCTCCTGACACTGCCGTGTAATTACAGTACTCAATTCAGTTCAAGAATGGAGCCTGAAACTATTTCTTCTTGCTAGCATGAGCTGCTTTCTCTTTCATTACATTGAAAGTGGAGTCATCTTCACTACAGTAGAAAGCAGATTTTTTTCACATTACTTCAGATGTTTTCTTTAGACTGGCGTTAACATAAAGCAAATGTCTCTTGAAACTCTGAACCAATCTGTCAAGATAAACAGGCTTCACTTACAATATTCCTGCACTAAAATCACAGGCTTGTGGTTTGCAGCTCTTTAAAGACTCAATTCATACACTCTAGAATGTCCACTCAAGAAACACACACCACACACACACACGCACACGCTCACATATACACAGACACTAAGATAGCTTTGCCATGGAAACCACAAAGACATGTCTGGTTCAGACTCCAAAGCACATACCACAAATAACGGCCCATCTTCCAAGGGCAGAGCCTATGTATACACAGGGAAAGCCCAGAAAAGTAAACGACTGCAATACTTCAAACATAAAACTTACTTTATAATTCTTTTTAAAAATTGTCTTTCAAGATCTGTAAGTCCTCATCATTGTTTCTAGTTGTACTTACATGTCTGTTCTTTTTTTTTTTTTTTTTTCCTTAAATAGAATTTCAGACACGAAGGACATGGATATAAAGGGAAAACAGGGAGAAGGGGCACAATGAAGTTTCATGTGTGAATCTAGTGTGATCTAGAGAAAGCCACTGGTGTCCTAGTCTGCTACACATGAAGGTCATGTACTAGAGATTACGGTGGATTCTAGGAGGCCTCCTGGGAAGGAAAGGGGTGTAACAGAGGGGGAGGCAAGAGCAAGAGGTCCTACCAATCAAGAACATCGCAGGCCTGGAAGGCCAGGCTCTGCCAGCAGGTACTTCAAAACTGTCAAAAGTTTGAGAGGATTTATCTCCCTTGCTGGGCTACACGGTCCACTAGGCCGTGGACAACTTCCAATTTGTGTATCATTATGTCCTCAGCATGAAGCACAAAGGCTGGAACACGGTAGATGCTTAATAAATAATGGAGAGGATGCTCAGGAGACAGCCTTCAGTTGTGCGAGTCTTTGGATTCGCTCTCCTTCAGCTGGGATCACAGGTGTGAGCATATGGTTGTTTAGAGTAATAAAGTGATAACCACGCGCCACTGAACTGTTTCTTTTTGGGACCTACCATTTCAACCCACTGCGCTTCAACCCAGGAGGCCACGGTTTGCCAAGACGTATGTTCCAGATATCAATGCCTCACCTACAAAACACTCAGTGTATTTCTATATATACATATTCCATAGACGGAGGTAAGAGCCTTCCATTCTGGGAGGTCTGTGACAACAGATGCACCTCTACACCCCGATACCAGCCAACTTCAACCCCCATCAGATCACTGCCTCCCCAGTGGTTTTACACAATCTGTGATTTTGTTCATTCAATCAAGAACTGCAGGTCCCACATTGGGCAATGATTTAGAACATACCACAGACATGCAGTCATAGATATAATTCAAATTATATCAATTCATACAAGCTTCAGTTCCATATAAGAAAGTACCAATTGACTCCACATACTAACCATTCAGTGATCGTTTTGTTTACTGTACTATGAATTTCCCATTTAAAGAAACCCATGAAAGCAGCTGTCAATATTTCCAACACCACTTACCCACAACCCAACTTTCTATTTAGCACTTTTTAAATCTCAATACTGAGGTAGATTTCTTTTGTTGTTGTTGTTGTCGTTTGTTTATTTGTTTTGGTACGGGGATCAAATTCAGGACCTTGTGCTTGCGAAGCAGGCAGCAGAACCATTGAGCTAAATCCCCGGCCCCCTGAGGTCGATTTCTTATAAATTTTGTGATCCGTTAAAAAAAGGAGGCAGGGATGGCCAATTTGGAGGGTCAACAGAAACAGTGGGACAGGCAAACATTCTTAGGTTTAGGTCGTTTCTTCCTGATAAGGGTACATAAGGGCATCAGCAAGCTTTTCCTATAAAAGGTCAAATAATTAAGTAAATTTGGCTTTACAAGTTTCTGTTGCAGCTACTTATTTTGCCACTACAGCATGAAGGCAGCCATCAATAATAAGGAAAGAGATGGGTGTTGTCACGTTTCAATAAAACTTTGTTTACAAAAATAAGCAGGACTTAGCTGGCGAGCAATAGCTTGCCAACCCTAGACTAGACAAACACAATGCTCCTCTCTGCAGGAAATAATAATAGATTCACTTACTTTGCTCTTTTGGCCATTTCATTTCCGTCCCATCTGGGGCTGTATGGATAATTTTTTTGGGCCTGGGAGTAAAGCTGTCCACTGTTGGTAAAATGATAGACGGACTGAAATGTGAGGGTTGGCTGGTCTCGCGGAAAGAAGAGAGGCAGATCAACTGAAAAGACAGAAGAAAGGCAAGTTAGTGGTAAACACAGCTTAAGACTTTGACGGGGCTACATCAGAATGTTGGGTACAATAATACCAGAAACATTACGGTGGCTGAGGCTTAGATAAAAGCTGCAGAACCAGGAACCAAGAAATACAGTGTCTTTCCTGTCTTCAAGGGAGCAAATCACATGAGTGTGAATGCGGGCAGCAAGGACTGCACCAAGCAGGCACAGAAGTGTAGGCAGAGGCCTGCCAGGCCCCGGCCGTCTGAGCCCCTTGTGCACCTCACCCACTCTCGCTGCAGTGAGCTGTGTAACTGTTTCAAGCCTCTCTTAGGCCATAAACTCTGAGGGTTAGGCAGCGTCTTCCTCATTTGTAATTTGATGGGGGGTGGCGGTTGTTTTACAAGAGAAGTCTTGGAAAAGGGACAGCAAGGGTAGTTGATAATCTTTCCACTTCATGGGATACAGCAACTAGACCACCAGGGGGGGAAAAAAAGGCATCACACTGGTTCTAATCAAGCAGTCGGTTTTGATACTCAGCAGTTTCCATTTTTTCCATGTGTTACATGTATTTATAGCTCCTAAATCAGAGGGGGCTCCCTAATGAAGACGACAGGGACACGGATCTGAGCACTGACTACGCCTGCCGGAGCAGTGTGGCTGCTCCCACTCTTCGCTGTCCGTACGGAGACTAAGTGCTTTATCTTTTCACTGTGGGGATCTTGAACTTAATTTTTTTAAAAAGACAATGACTTGCTAGTTTTAGGTGAGGTAAGCCATTATTAAAAGCGTAAGTTGTTTTAATAACGCATTCTTTAAGATAGATAATAGGTGTTTGTGTGAATGTTACTCTCTTGGGCAAAGAACAGGATCACTGTCAAAAACAACAAAAAAATACAGAATCTTCTAGCTTTTCAGAATACTTTTAGTTTGTTACTTAAAAGTCGGTGAAAGAGACATTATTTTGACCATGTGCACTTAACAGACAAGCAAACTTAAGACGCCAGGGGATTTATTACCTCACTCACAGCATAAGTAGGCAGGCGCAAGAGTCAAGTCTAGAACCATGGTTCAAATCCTGGGTTCCTATGTGCCAACACCTCCTCAAAGTTAATGTGGACAAAGTTATTTTTTGTTTTGGCAATGTGAGGTAAATATATTAAAAGGATACATACTAAGTAGTTCCAAATCTATCATCGTCCCAGGGTGGGGTGACATTCAACTTAGACTAGGCCCTCTAAGCACCAACATGGTATCTTGAAAGAAAAGTTAAATTCATAGCAAATTAAAAAAAAAATTCCAAGAAACAAAAAACAGTCGGGTTGGTAGGGCCTGTCAGACCTCTGAGCTGACTCCAACACTGTCTGACTCAGTGCTATGGGGGTTTCTACCGATGAATCACCCTACAGCCAAAGAAAGGGGCCAGGATTGTGGATGCCCACTTTTTAGTCACATTTGTCAAGTACCACAATAAGGCAGTTGAATACTTATATATCCATGCCAAGGCAGAGATTTCACAGGAGCAACACCAAATATGAAAAAGAAGAATCAAATAATAACTCAATTCAGAAAACTGCTGGATCCCTTTAGTTACAAAGGCTCATCTGCAACTTCTTCAGTCACTTGTAACAAATACTGCTTTCTAAACTTTTTGTATCTTTTCTGATTAGTTATTTAATTTCCTCTGATTAATTTTAGAGAAATGCCTACCACATATGACTTATCTTGACTTTAACTATAATTGTTAAAATACATACAAGTTTCCAAATATAAAACACAGGAATGTGACTCTCAAGCTACTGACTTTTTTGGGCTTTGGGAATTATTCTTTTAAATTTTTCTTCCTAAGAGATAAGATGTTGCTATTTTGTCCTGGCCCCAAACTCATGGGTTGAAGTAATCCTCCTCCCTCAGCCTCCTGAATAGGTGGAACTGTAGGTATGGGTCACCATGCCTGACTGAAATACACTCTATTTTTTCCTTGTTATTTGTTTTGTAGAAACAGATTGCTCTTATTACTATAAGTGATTTGCTGAGAAACAATTTTTCTACCTATTTCTTAACTATCTTCTTTGAACCAAATGCCCACTTAGCATAAAAAAACAAATTTAGATGTTAATGCAAATGATTTACCCAGGTAAGTGAGTTGTTCTGACTTGTTCGGTTTGTTTTTTTGAAACAGGGTCTCACTACAGAGCCCTGGTCAGCATCAAACTCACTATGTATCCCAGGCTGATCTCAAGTTCATGACCCTCCTGCCCCGGCCTTCCAACTACTGGGATACCAACACACTTGGACATTCCAATTTTTAAAAAAGCCAATAAACTATATGCTGATATGTGTACTGTAATCCTAAAAAAGCACCAATTATACAATTATTTCTCCACAGAGATTTGGATAACAAAGTGTAGGAGAAGCTAATAGTAAAATTTGAATACTTTCTCCACATACACAGTAAACTGGATTATTAGGGAAACAAGGAATAGAGCACTTCAGAGAAAAAAAAATCAGTAATCCACATATTAAGTTTTAAAAAGCACAAGTGTCTTGTTCAATTTAACTCAGCTGCATTCCATCTGTATCACTCAATAGTTAAGAAAGGGGTGCTTTCTTAAAAATGCTCTACACTTACAAATGAATAACTACAATATTTATGAAAAACACTGTGCATTTTTCTTGTAAGAATTATTTGAGTGGTAAAAATTGGTGAGAATTTAAAAAATCCAAAAGCTCGTTTTCTTTATCCCCCAAAGGTTTGATACCTGACTTTTGCCTATGGGTTAAGTCATGATTTTCAGACACATAATAAGCTAAGTACTTTAGGCCCTCGGACAGCTCACTTGCTCTAAGGCTCCTGTCTACTTGTAAACAATTTAGACTCATAGTTTCAGCTGTACCAAAATTGAACACTGATAATTTACTTTTGTGGAACCTACTGGCTCAGTTTGGCTCAGGGAGCAGAATCTTCCCTCTGGTTCAGCCATTTCCTACTTTCTTTCTTCATGCACGCAGAGATTGCATCTTTAGGGAAGGGACAGTCCTCACTTGTTCAGCAGACTTTCAATAACTTGTTGAAACAAGTCACAGTAAGCACGTCTCATTCTGCACGAATCGGGTGGGTCTCAGGGTTCTGCGACTCTGGGAGAAATGGCAATCCTTCAGCCTCTTCCGGGTACTCGCTGCAGGGATGAGCCCTACCGGTCCAGGTCCTAGAAGCCGAATGTATGGTGCAGCGTACTGCCTCTCCATAAAGCACAGAGCAGGTGGACAGCTGCAGGCTACCACATCCTAAGTGCTCATCTGTCACCATAAGAAGGCTCCAGGTGAGTAGCAGCCAAGTTCGGGAGCCTCTCCAGAAAGTCCTTACTTCTCCAAATACCTCAACAATGGGAAAATTAGCCCGAGACAACCCCCAAAATATCACATTAAGCACTGGATCCAGCCTGTCAGATACTCAGAACACGCCAGGCATGATTTTAACACGTTTAATGATGTGATTTTTTTTTTTTCAGAATGTCAGATACAGAACACGCCAGGCATGATTTTAACACGTTTAATGATGTGATTTTTTTTTTTTCAGAAAAGAACAAAACATAACTTAACGATGGTAAGGTGAGGACAAGGCACTTCAACAGCAAATAATGATAGCTCCCAATCTGGAACAAGGGAAGAAGAGTGTAATAAATAAAGGTGGAATAAAAGGGCAAAAAGAATCCCAGCTTGGGGCCGCTAAGTATAGGAGCCAAAAGCTCTACATCACAGTTGGTACAATCGGTGACAAACCCCACCTGACCCCCAGGATCTCGGTACCTGGCAGGCACCCCTGGCTGCCTACCTAAAAGCCATTTTCCATCCTCCTTTCTTATGGGCAAAGCCCTTCCTTCCATCCAGAGTTTGAAAGTGCTGGATGTTCAGTTTCTTAGATTTTCATAAATCAAAGCATGGAAATTTGACTCACTTGTGCCAATTGGACCTGAAGAGAAGTTGGTGAGAAGTCTTCTGAGAAATATTTTCCTCTCTGATTAAAAACATGTATGAGAATAATCCCCCATTTCTTCCTAACCTTGGCCCTCTCCTGTGGTACCCATCGTGTGACTATGAGGAGGTCAGCAGGTCATCCTGGAGTGGCTGAGTTCAGCATTCCTGGACCTGCCTAGTTCCAGATCTCTCGTTTAGTGAAGCGCCTATCAACCTTAACTATTTAAATCTCTCTTAATCAACGCTTCTCAGACGCAGATTCTTCACTGACATCTAAGGAAACTTTATTTCTCGTACCTTCTGTTGAAGAAGGCAGAAACACTGCATAATCTATTTCAGAAATATTTCCACCAACATGGTTAAAAAACATTCAAGACATATAAATAGGAAAGTTTTACTTGTCTGGAAAATTCAGTTTTGTGGGCCAGTTCAATCCTTGAAAATGCCAAACAAATGAGGGGTTAACCATAATTGCTTCCCCGGGAGTCACATCATCGAATATTCTCGTCATTATTCACAAGCCGGCCATTCTTTCATCTCTTCAGACCGTCCGCACTGCATGCGGCCATGATTTTCGCACGCGCCCCGGTTAGCAGAGAAGGTCCTCGAGGGTCCATCCGCTTTGTGTGGTTAGGGCACATTCCCAGCTCCGGGCTCTCAGGCCTCTCCAGTTCCTCGAAGCTGACTCCGCAGCAGTGTTAACCCCTGGTGGACTCGCTTCAACTTGCCCTGCAGTGACGATTCCATCTGACTGTGAGTCTCTCGGAGAGCAGCCTGTACCCATCTTGTTCCCAGGCTGCCTCAACCAGTGTGGGAACACTGCCATTTATTTAATGAACATCTGCATCTTACTAACTACATACTAACCCTGGGAGACACATGGATTCCAACCAAGAGAAAATTCACCACCACATAATCTAAATCGCCTAAGAGAAGCATAAAAGTCAACCTTTCTGCTTCAGAAGTGCCCCTATTGAAGGCATTAAAAGTTAAATGGAGCTGGGCATGGAGATGCACACCAGCAATC